ATATGATGCCCTAGGATGAGAACGCGTTGAAATATCAAAATTCGATTACATTTCAATTTTTAAGTTTGCGATTTCAATTATATATATACAGTATATATATATATATCAGGTCCAGTATATGGAGGTAGCCTGGCTAACGTCAGACCTCTTCTCATTGAGATTGAGACGTGGTCTGGGAACCACGTTCATTTTCTCGTATTTCAGGCGTGGTTTACGAATGCCCATAACCGTTTATTGGGTGCAACGAATGTCTATCAAATCAAATGCGCCTGTATCTAGCTCATCGCCAATCGTTTCAATTATACCAGATGACGTATGTAGAGCGACAGAAATTGGAAGAAGACGATGGGTTAGAGAGGTGTACACAATGGCGTGTGTATCTAAGGCTAAATTGAAAGGTTACTTTGCGCCTGCTGCCATGTTTGATCAACAGGTATAAACAAACTGCTGCGGTGTGTCGCATAGACGTCGTCATCGTCTTGCTGTTCCCTCCCTGTTTTGTGATTGGTCCCTGAAAATCTGGTTCATGGTATCCAGACTGCCTTGCACGCTGTGCTCAAGGCTGCATGGGGAAAGGGAAACCCAGGCTATATGGAGGCCTAAACCTGTAGAAATTAGAACTAAATGTGTAGATAAATAATTAAACGTAATAATAGGAAAATAAATCAAGAAATTATCTATTTCGGGGGTGGTGATGGCGCAGTGGATAAGACACATGCCTTTGGTGTGAGAAACCCGGCTTCGAATCCACTGCGAGACACCAATGTGTCCCTGAGCAAGACACTTAACCCCTAGTTGCTCCAGAGGCGTGCGACCTCTGACTTATATAGCAATTGTAGGTCGCTTTGGATAAAAGTGTCAGCTAAATGAATAAATGTAAAAAACTTTTTTACATTTTTCCTTCATTTATTATTTTCTTTCTTTATTTTTAACTTTTTAACTTTTATTTATTTATGCATTATTCATTTATTGTTAATTTACTAATTCCCACATGTATTTATTTGACATATGAATTTATTTTTACTTTTCAGTGTGCACAATGGAAATGTGGTCCTTGTGTAGCTAAAGTGCATCACTGGTTGAGCGCTCACATATAGATGCGTCACGGTGTTCAAAATGACATTTATTGTTTAAATTTCATAATAAAGCTGAGACCGTTTCATGCACTAAAAAAAAAAATCGATTCTTGGAATTTAAAATGCATTATTGGTTCATCAAAATGAAAATCGACTAAAATCGAGAACTCTATACCTTAAACCCTGCCCTAAAACACACAATGTGATTTCACAGTCAGTGTGAATGCAAACCGGTCATGGACGGTCCCCGCTGCCTGTGGCCTGCTTAAAGGCCAAACCTCAAATATCTGTGAGTTTGAGAACACTATATCTGAAGTCTCTATCTCTGTTGACAGCAGTCTCTCACACCTCAAAGCCACAGGAACATTAAAACATCTGCCGATCTTCACATGATGCACGACGGATGAAAAGCAAGCATGTCAAAGAGGCCAAGTCTGAGGCTTCCGAGAAGTTCTGCATCTACGGCATGGCTCCACGCTTCTATCCACAAAACTATCCATCTCTGTCACAGGAAAAGACACTGAGGAGATTAAAGCACGAGAGATCCAACACTGTATAGTTTAAGAATGCCACCTCAGCCCCAGATACAGCAAAGCTTGCCAAAGTTCTCGAGATTCAATACATCCGGCCTATTCATCTCTGTTCCAGACCACCGTTCTGTCCGCCTCTTAATGTCAATACTAATAGATTGTAATGCATTTAGATCTTTCCAGTAAGAGAAACTCTGAACCTCAGCAATCCTCTGATAATTATCAAACAGGGTTGACATTGCTAGAGTACAGCACACAATCTGAGGATGGGTGTCTGTATCGTCGTCAAATATGCCAAGATTTTATAATAGCTAGAAAATTGTGCAGTTAATGAAACAAAGAAAGACCTGGCTCCTTTTATCCTACCGTCCCATCTTTATAGTTCGTTTTTATTTTTTATTTTTTTTTGTAGCTTACCCACAGCTGTCGCAACAATGTAAACAGAAAAATAGTAACACAGACGTGGTCAACAATAAGAAAAAACAAGGCATATAAATAAATAAATAAATAAAACATTATTTTGGCAGGAAATAAAAGACATTTAATGCTTTAAAACTAAATAAAGTTTTTAAAAGTGTGTAAGAAGTTTTAAAAAAAAGTTTTTCAGTGCATTTTAAGTTGTTTAGGGACCATTTGGTCTTTCACAGTCTGTCTAACGTTGCATGGCAGAGATGATATTTATGGCAGGAGGGTGCTGGGGGAGAAAGACAGAAAAAGCGAGTCCCATTGTTGGTCTCAGGAGCTGTAGTATAATTACTGTAGCACATGCGGGGCCTCCACGAAGATGCCTGGCTGCAGGCCGGGGACCAGCTCTCTAAACTGATGTCTCCCCGCATCCCCACTGCACTACGAATGAACTCACTTTCCACATGCCTCTTTCTCCAGTTCCCCTCCTCTCTTACTGTCTCTTCTGTCCTTTCTGCACATCTCATTCAGGAGGCTCAATAATAACGAATGCTTCTGCTGGCCAGCTAAGAGGGGCTTTCACTTGCCCTGCCAACATTTTCACTGCTCGTACCACAAAGATTAATTAATGAACCTGAAAACACACATTTTTTTCCTATAGCATATACCTGAACCACATACACACATTTTTTCCCTTTATCATCAGAATTTCCAAAATGTCCAAAGACTTTACACATCAATGTCAACAACAGACAATAAAAAAAATTCAACATCATATCTTATCCCTAAAACCGTATTCTGGACAAATGTGGGCAAAATAGTTTTGATTTATTTTTTAAAAATACTTCACTTGATCTGAGCAGTACAAGACTTGGCTACTTTTCCTAAGTTTGCCTCCTGAACACACACATTTTTTTTTTGACTCAATTCTACAATGTTAAGTGGGTGAAAAAAAAACTTCTTAATCTTGTATTTGGGTAAAAAAATGGGCACCCATAGAAATGAATGGGAAAAACTGTAATTCAGAGCATTCTAAAATAAGCCAAAATAAGACACCAGGTCTGTCAAAGTCACTTCATCTTTAGGTTTTAGCTCTAAGAACTTATTGTAATGATATTTTAATGTAGTTAAAAAATATTAAAAAATAAAAACATAAAAATAAGCATAATTTACATCGAAAATATGGTACTTTTTGAAGTAAATAAATTACAAAGTACCCCCAAAATTAAAAAAAAAACACCATAAATGGATAGACAAAACTTTATCGAAGACAGTGTGCCCACATTGTGTGCCCACTTTATCCTCTGTGCCCACATTTGTCCACAAATACAGGATTAAGGGCTATAAAGTGAATACGGTTTGAGGGTTCCATCACGTTACAATAACTGACTGTGATAAGTAGTTGTATAGTGTGATATGTATGTGTAGAACTAGTTCACCTACATGTATATTGGTAAATTAATGCAAATATTTTGTTTTGCACTAAATTCTAAATTGTTTTAATATTAATATTAATATACCCTAAAATGTATATATACAGTATATTATAATTTATACACATACACATTTACTTTACTTATATTTAGTGGAAAACAATATTAATATGAAATGTTAGAACAATATTAATATGTCCGTTAAACCAAATATTTCTAAAACAAATTCTAGCAACAAAACCTCCTCTATGCGAGCCAGCTGCATACTGTATTGTTACTGTGGCAACATATTTAAATTAACAGAACTATTTATGTTCACAGAAAACCAAATGTTTCAGTTTGCAAGCCACAAAACACGTACATGATCATCAAGCACGAGATGAAAAGACTGATAGGACTTATTGACATTTCCATCAACTAGCATTGCGCCATAAAACTTCTTATTGCTGAGCCCTGCACTCCTCTCAATTTCTTTTTCTACAACCTCCAAAAGGAGGCATCACTATCCCCGCTTTGTGTGGGACAGGGAGCCGAAGGCTGAAAGGCAGAGTAGAGGATCTCTCCCTTGAGATTTAAGACAGAGTGACACAGCAGACGTGGAGAGGCTGTCAGCCGATATCCCTGCTCCTGTCCGGAGCGAGTGTCACAGCTTCTGGATACGGCAACGTGTCAGGACAGCCTGTCAGTTGGCGTCCGCGGGCTAAAAAACATCCATCAGCCCTAAAATTTTCATTTCAATCATCTCACCCCTGCAGAATCTGGTGAGACTGGGATCGAAAGCATTACTAAAATTAAACTCTTCTGCCAAAACCCGAGCCAGATTTGACAATAAAAAGCACTGGGATATAAACCAACAGCTGAAACACTATTATTTGCTGGCAGTATCACACGCCTTATGATACATTTTCAAACTGTGCAGTATTTACCCAAATAGTCAGTGGCCTAAATGCAGTTTAATTGATGTGAGGCTACGCTCTAAACCAGATGCTGGGAATGTTACGCTTGGCTGTCAGTAAAACAGAACGCTAAGATTTTCCTCTTTAGTCAAGCCCCTTGTTTCATGTCTGAAACACACAGGCTGACCCAGAGCTCTAATGGCCCCCGGGGAGAGTATTCTGCATGTGTCAGCTTATGCCCGAGACACACTTGCTCTGTTAATAATGTCTCTCACTTTGTTCTCGCCCTGTGCAGAGTCTGCTCAGCCCACCAAGGATTTAGATCCAGAGGGGGTCAGGCTCTTTCATTAGGGCTGCTGTGATCAGAGTTGGATTTCCATGATAATTAGCCATGACTCAAGTTGACATGAAACACCAGGGGAAACTCAACTAACAGACCAGTCATGTGACCTGACCTCTCCTATGGCCATCCGGCAGGACGTTCAAAGGGCAGCAGATCAGTGTCAAAAAGAAAGACCATACGAGTTATGAGACTGACAACCATGATAACGCTTGAAGGTGAGTTTGAAAACTGTCTCCTTCTCATTTCACTTCAGAATAGACAAAACACAGATCAGATCATGTGTGACCAGACCATAAGCACAACAAAAAGCATCCTACCTGTCTTGTGACTGTTCTTCGTACATTCTCTCCTTGGCTTCCTTAAAGAGGCGAATTGCTCTTTTGGATTTCTTCATCAGGCTGTCGATGTACACTTTGAAATAGTCATTCTCGCTTAGCTGAGTTAGTCTCTGGTGCTCCTCGTATTTGCACAGAATCAGCCTCAGGTGCTGGTAAGTGTCCGGTAAAATATCCAGGATGTACGGAGGACTGTTCTTCAGCTGTAGTCTGGGGTTCTGACATAACCTCACCTAAAAACACACACGCCGTCAGTTTAGAAAAAAAAACGACTCCCCTTCACCGAGAACACATTACACAACAATTTCACTAAGTATGAAAGGTAAGTGGTACAGTATAAATGAGGACTGAAAAGCGTCAGGTCTCAGTCCAATGATTAGTACAACAGACTAGTACAGAGAAATTGAGATGCTTGCGCTATGTAACAAATCATGATCACCACACTGTATACAGAACTCTATTTATGACACAAATCTTTTATAAAATGTTACATTAGTAATGAAAGATGGATGGGAAAGAAATCCCAGAAGTTATAACAACCCAAACTATTGCACCTATAAAATAGCTATAAATAAATACAAAAAAAAATGGGTGAGTGGATGGATGTTATGCTCTGTAAGTACTGACGATGGATGGATTTCAGTTAGGAACAAACTTCTCGAGCTTGACGCAACTCGGTAAACAGTTAGCTACAATGTATCAAACAAATGCTTCCAAACAAGCGAAAAGTCTCTCAGGAAGCAGAGTTACATCATCGACAGGAAGACTGTAAACACACTCAAGACACTTACTACTTTGTCCATGAGTTTCCATGTCTTCTCTACGGTCCGGCGGTCGGCAGCCGCCTGTTTGGGGGGTCCGACGGCGTCCTGGATGGCATCAATGATGCCTAAAATACGGCCTTTCCTATTGTTAGGTGGGCGTCCACTGAGAGCAGTTGCCATTTTCTGCACACTGTAACATACAGAAATGTTGAAGGCAACAAAACACATGTGGGCAGATATGTGACAGTATAGCCTGAAAGAACTGTACCCTGAGGTCTGAGGTCTTTTATATCAGACCAGCGATTAGTAGGCTACAAAAGACTAGTACAGAAAAAAAAATAAGATGCTTGCACTTTGTAACCCATTTAGTAGCCTACCACTGATTATATTTGTGAACATTAGTTTGTATATTGTATAACGAACCAAATACAAAAACAACTAAAGGCACGTGTAAACGTACCACCGAGATTTGTCTATCTCACATTCATCATGATCACCGTGACCGAACATGTAAACAGAACTCGATTTAAATGATTTAATCACATTATAAAAGTTATAAACTTTTTGTAAGCATGCAGTAGGCTGTTTAAACAGTGCCCACTTAGTTGGGAATAATTTGGGATGAAACCGTTTAAAATCCACCCTGCAGAAACACAAAATTACTGTGTTACACTTTTTAAAAGAGCATTAAACAAAATGCGATGTAAGAAACACAACTTGGTCTTCAAAGACTATGACAACTAATTAGCCTGAGCATTTATCTTAAATTCACTCTAAATCGCATAATATAAAACATATTTGTATAATATAAAAACTCCAGACTTACTGCGGCAAAAGAAAAACAGTGTAGCAGCCAATACAGGGAATGCCAGAATTCCTGAGTTGAAGCTTTAGGGAGGTCCCCACAACAAATGACAACAAAAGGAACAAAAACACAACGCCAGAGCCAGGAAACTATTACATCTCTGCCCAGACGTTCAAAAACTAGAAGCAGCTCGTCCGTATCCCCACATAAAACACTTAAACGCAGTACAATACCGCTTTTCTCGCTGTCTGATATGGTCGTGACAGTGCTCGGTTAAAAATCAGTACTGGAACAAGAAGCAGCGAAAGCAATAGGGAGGAGCCGAGTGGGCGGAGCCGATGAAGCAATCGCTCTCAAGTGGCCAATCAGAAAGCGCGAACGTTCCCCGAGGTGAAGGAGTCCTCCAATCGCCAATTGGAGTTGAGACTTTAAGTGCATACTTAATATTTCCGTAAATGAAGAGGCAATGAAATCGTGCAAAGCGTTTTGTAGGTTGTTCCTATTGTGCAAATTATATATTCAGTCATCTTCACTTTCTCCGATGGAAACAAGTCTTATTATGGCAAGCCCCGTTAACATTTATGACGTTTAAAATACATAACTAAAATCTTTGTATGTATGTAACTTATTTAGGCTATTTTTTAATTAGTACTAAATACAATAGTGACTATGTTTTCATTTTAATTACTCATTTGTTACTGGTAATATTACTAGTAATAATTGGAATAAAGGCTAGTAGCCAACTGTAGCCTGTTAAAACTAATAGGCTACTAGCCAGAAGTGAATAGTTGATATTTGGTCCTAAAATAGATCCCTACACGATTAATTTGCAAAAGATTGTTAGTAACAGGATTGTTCAATTGGTAAAGTAACTGGTTGCGAAGTAGTACACTAAAACAAATTGGTAGAATGTAGATAGAAACAACTTTCACTCAAACACTGCTTGTAATAAAAAAAACAACATAAACAGCAAGTAGCCTAACACTGAATTAAATGTGACACTCTGAAGAAGAAAAAATGTATTTTCTTTAACAAATTACAACTTTGAAAAATAAATTTCACAGTGTACTTGCATAATTAATAAAATAGGAAGGTTACTACAAATGTAAAGAATCTATGCCTACAAGTTAGTTCAAACGATAAATGTTAAAATGGCTTTCCACACAAGTCCCGTTGTTTAGGTGCTTTACAACCACGTGGGCCATTGGCGGAACATTTTGTTTTGCTCCTCTAATAAGAAATCTCTTCTACTTATCTGTGTTCTGCTTTATTTCATCTTCATATTTGCAGTCTTAGCATGATATTCACAGTCATGGAAAGCCTGGAAATATAACATTTTCATAACCTAATGGGAATGTTAGAAAAACATTCTAAGAACATATTTTTTTGTCAGCTGGGATTCCACTCATTATTTGTGACCAGATACGGATTTCCTATTCTAGCCTTTAACTCTCTATACAGAAAACTCACTGTGAAACCTAACACAGTTACAAGAATGAGTGATTCTCTACAGAACCGATGTAAAAATGTGAAACTGTGAGGTCAAACCACTACAAAAACTTGGTATAAACACTCAACAAGGAAACAGGAAGTAGCAAAAACAATGACACCTGAAGACACACCAGAACTTGCACACACAACAAAATAGAATGGTTTATTTAACAATTTAACATAATAATCTGATAATGGTGCAGTTTGTCAATCAGTAGCAGAAATTAGAAATTCAAGACATGACTCATTTAACTAAGAACCGAGGCGCTGGACTTTTATGGATCTAGAAAATGCTCAGACATGTTTGGATTAAATGCAGCTATTTATGTGGTTAGTATCCCTTTCACTTTTTTTCAGAAAATCTAAAAAAAAAAATCAGTTACTTTCGATGAATGAAAGAAAATTTCATATCCTTCTGGATTGTAGGTAGGCCTAACATGATGACAAATTTGATTTTTTTTTAACTTGCCCCCATCTGCAGCGAAGCACCATGGATGATGTTTGTAATGAGAATGGGGGTCCCTGGGGCCACGACCAGGAGGTCACACGATACAGCGCAGCGCTTATTAAAGCACAACGCTCTCAGTTCCACTTCCATGACACAACACACACACACACAGGAAATGTGATCCAATGTCTCCCAGGCATATCTTTCAGCAAAGAAAGGACAGCATATAGAGAGAATGGAGCAATGGAGTTGCACAAGATGCACAATCATATCATTTCAGGGCTGATGATGGTTATTTCTACTTCCTAATGCACTTTATGACTCATTCTTTATGCCTCAAATATTTCAGAACGAATCTAAACGTGTGTGTGTGTGTGTGTATATATATATATATATATATATATATATATATATTTCCATATAAATGGGAGAGTGAGTGTGTGTGTGTATAAATGACAATGAAGTAAATATTAAAAACTCACTCAGTAATCTTCTCAGTTTGACATTACAGGATGTAAAACGATTGTTAATTGCTTGAAAGGTCAGCATAACTGATTTCCTCTCAAAAGCATCAGACGGTCAGCATAATATCTTGCTTCTCTGTTAGAATGTGACCCTGCTTTCGATTTCCCTTTTCCTGACCTGTGGAGGTCAAGTAAGTGATAAGAGTTTAGAGGGGAGGAGGCAAAAGAGCTCAGAGGGTCAATAACTCCCAACAGTAAGTTAAACCATTAATAAAAACATATAAACAAAAAGTAACAATCAATACCTTATCAGTTCACAAACCGGATCTGTCTCAATTAAATGAATAACGTGCAATGCAACATATGGCAAGCGTGGCTTTGGCACAGTTCGCTGACTGGAGCGATGAAAAATGTCATCTGCGTATTACTGAGTTGTCTCATGAGTCATTATTTCTCTGTTATGACTAAGCACACTTCTGTATTTCAGAGCAATTTGTCTTTCAGGATGTCTGTGGCCTGTTAATTGTGTGTGAAACGTGACTGTATTGTACAATAGGCTTCGCAATAGAGGTGCGGAGCTTCGCAATCAAATGTCAAGATGATCAGGATTGGTATGTCTCAGTGTTTCGATAGCATATTGTGCAGTGATGTCATTGAGTGTGGCAAAATAATCCCTGGATATTTGCTGAGATCACAAAACTATGTTGCCATAAGACTTCTGAAATTCAAATTCAGCAGCTATCCATAAAGGAAGTTGCATGGAGTTAATTCAGTAAGGGAGTTATCATGCGTGCCAGTGTGTGTTCAGTTCAGGAAATGTAAATGGCCTTATTGTACCCACAGTAATGGCCGAGGGGCAATTCGCTTCAGTGCAGCCTGATAGTAAAGAGACTGTGCTAGTCTTATCTGTGCTTACTTAACTTCAGAAACCAATTCAGATTGGTTTTGATGATTGACCAGAGTAACTGGTTTTGATGATTGACTAGAGTAATCAGCTAGATCTGGCTTTTTTGGTCAAGGCTTCTGCTGCAAGGTCCAGATGGTTTTTGGAACTTGTTAGCTGGCTTCTTAATGGTCTAAGTTGGTCTACCAGCCCAGCTAGGTCCCTACCTAATATTTCAAATCAAAACTGTCAGACCAGCTTGGAATCGGGATTTATCCATCAGGGAAGTCATGTGTCTTGATTCAAAGGCCAAGTGTCCACCAAAGCATTATTAGCCAGCTGAAAACAGCAGACGCTCTGCTGAAGACGCCTAGCTTTGGGTGCTTGAGAGCGTTTTTTGCATTGAGATGTTTCATTGCTATGCTACAGAATATCCGCAGCAAAGTTTACTTGTAACTGATTTCGCAGATTCATACTAAAAACGTATTTTTCATCCATTTTGTTCGGTTATCTCTGCTAGTTGATGTTGAAGAATGTTGTGACAGTTGGTATTAGTCCCGCCCCTCCTCCACTCTGATTGGACAGGTGGGTAAAAAGTGACAGTGAACATTTTACAACTCCCGCCGACCATAAATAACGCTGGGCGCTTCAGCGTGAAAAAAACGCTCTGTGCCTCGTTAGGCCGTGTGTCCACCGAAGCGTTTTTCCACGCGCCTGGCGTATGTTTTCAATGGGAACGCAGCGTTTTTTAAACGGCATGAGCGTACCGAGGCGCTGAGCGTTTTTTTCACGCTGAAGCGCCGAGCGCCCAGCGTTTTTTACTGGTCGCTGGGAGTTGAAAAATTTTCAACTTTGGATAAAACGCAGCCCTCATCACTGTCACTTTTTACCCAGCCGTCCAATCACAGTGGAGGAGGGGCGGGACTAATACCACACTGACCAACTGTCACAACATTCAACTGCTGCGGATATTCTGTATCATAGCAACGAAACGTCTCAACGGAAAAAACGCTGCGCTGCCAAAACGCTCTCAAGCGCCCAAAGCACGGCGTCTTCAGCAGAGCGTCTAGCATTTTCAGCTAACACAGTCTCATCCCAAAAAGTCATATAACTGACGTTTTGGGACGTCTTTTGACCATACGTCAATATCCGCCTTTTTAGGGCCCCCTTAAACGTCGGTAGATGGCGATCCCGGGCCGTCATACAACTGACGCTTTACCTTTAACGTCAGTTAGGTGACGGGTTAGGTTTAGGGTTAAGTTTAGGTATGGGGTAGAGTTAGGATCCCATAACCTCATCTACCGACGTTTAAGGGGGCCCTAAAAAGGCGAATATTGACGTATGGTCAAAAGACGTCCCAAAACGTCAGTTATATGACGATTTGGGATGAGACCGGGTTGTTTCAGCTGGCTAAAAACGCTTTGGTGGACACACGGCCTTACGCTCATGCCATTTAAAAAACACGACGCTCCCATTGAAAAATATTGAAAACATACGCCAGATGCGTGGAAAAACGCTTTGGTGGACACACGGCCTAAAAGCCCGGCACTCAGCACTTCAGCGTGAAAAAACGCTCAGCGCCTCCTTACGCTCATGCCGTTTAAAAAACGTGGCGCTCCCATTGAAAAATATTGAAAACATACGCCAGGCGCGTGGAAAAAGGCTTTGGTGGACACACGGCCAAACAGTCTGGATACTGTCTTCCTTCTGATTCCTAAAGTTGGACATAAAGTTTAGCAATCTGTTCTAGTAATGGTATAGTAAACAAAGACTACGGCACACAAACACAAATATCCGGCCCAGACAGTCCGAGCCCTGCCAGGACAGGAGATTGTTACCCACTATTTTTCTCTGACAATAGAGTTTCCTGAGTCCGCAACCAATAGCTTTGCTAAAATTAACTTTTTTCTATCAACGTTAGACACGCAGATTACATTTTTTTACGTAAGCATCAATAACCTTAGTTTGGTTTGAACTGTAAAAAAGTTCAAACCAAA